TCCAAGCTGAAGACGTTCGTCAACGTGATCTCTGCCATCGCCATTGTAAGCGTCGGGCTGCCACCACACTGCCGCACTCTGGGTCTTGCGCTGACGCCCCAGGCAAGGCCGCTGGTGTCATGACGATACTCTCACCAGGCATCTACTCGTCCAACCTCGCCAGCGGCATCATCAACATCCTGCTCGGCGTCTTCGGCTTTGTTGCCGCCTCCAACCCCGTCTATGCCAAGGGCTTCAAGACTGCCTTCCTCACCTTGTTCTGTACGTCGCTGCCTGTCTGTGGCTGGCCGGCTGTGCACCACCGTTCTCACATTGTACGCCACCGCCACAGTCTTTGATACTGCTGTCTCGATCGTGGGCGGTATTGTCTTTGCCGTTCGCCGGGACCTTTTCATCGATGCTTGCTTTGACAGCAACAGCAGAGCATCGGACAACCCTTACAGCATCTGCAAGCAGGCGTACACGAACGCCTTCTACCTCTTGGTTTGGGTCTCCATTGTCCGCTTCGTTCTGCAGTGTGTGTGCCTCTACTTTGTGGACCAGTACGCCAACAAGGCCCAAGCTCTGCTTGCCCAAGCCGACCCTGAGATGGGGACTGCTGCTCCTGCTGCTCCTGCAGTCTCTGCTGCTCCTGATGCTCCTCAGTCAAGCATGGCTACATCGTCTTAATTCAGCAATACATCATGTACTATTCATGCAGATCTGCCTGTTGCCACCAGATGCGCGACTCCCTGTCCACCAAACCGGCTCAACACTCTATTACTCAGCTGTTGCGAGGATCAGAAACCGCCCATGCCAAACATGGACAGATCTTCGGCAGACGGGCCGGCCTGTTGCTTGTCGTGTTGCTCGTTCCTCGTCTGCCGCGCACTCTCCAGACTGATCGCTCCGCGGATATGCGGCCCAATGTGCATGACTAGATCGGCAGGCAGTCCATGCGCAACCACGCCCGTCGCGTACCAGTCCATCTGCTGCGGCGCCACATGCGCAGTCGACACAACACGCCTGACCGGATCCACAACCCAAAACACAAGCATCTTGGCATGGCCTGCTCGGGTCGGGTCAGCCAGCCCGAACGGCTCCTGCCTGTGCTGCCAACTGTTGGGGAACGCAATGCACCTGCCCTCGACGGCATCCATCGTTCCAACGCTCTGCACTCGCATGCTGGCGTCGTCGTGGAATCCATACACCTCCTCCAGGTAGTCATACTCGGTCTGATCGTACCGCGTCAGCCATGCCTCAAACGTCGGTGTCTCTGACTGGAACGACAGTCGCGGCGTGGTGACGTTGTCCATGGCGTAGTAGCAGATGCCCGTGGCAACAATCGGCTCGGTCTGCGATCCCTCGGTGTGCCAGCTGCTGCCGTGATACTCGGGACTCTCGGGACTCAGATGGATGCTGACCAGCTTGACAATGACTTGCAGGCCGCGGTCGCGCAGGATGACGGGAGTTGGAAGAGCTGCTGGTGGCAGAAACGAGTCTGGCAGTCGGGGATGCAGAAAGCCCGATGCTTGGTGGTCGCCTGGGTTTCCAGCATCGTCGTCGCCATCGTCCTCGCCCTCGACGTAGCCGTCAATGATATCCTTTGCCTGTTGATAGCCCTCCTCGTCGTCCTCGCTGGGCAGCTCGGGCATTGACCGAAGCAGGCATCGCAGTGCATCGCGTGTCGTGTACACCTCGCCTGGATTGGTAATGTACGGCACAAGACCGCTGCTATGCCCAAACAGACTCTCAAGCAGCGGCACAAACCGCTCAAACACCTTGGCGATCGTCGTGTAGAGCGGCTTGTGCCAGACCGGATGCAGGTTGTTGATGTACGAGTTGATGGACACGGTGCCGTCCTCATGGATATGGAACTCTGACGGCAGCATCTGCGAAGGCTCCGATGCGGCGTACACGTCATCGTCGAGCTCGTCGAACACGGTCGGTGCGTCTGCCACGGTCTCGGCGGCGCCAAGGATGTCCCATGGCGGCATGGAGTTGGCCGCGGCGCGATGGATGCAAGCAAGAACCAGAGTGCGGCCGTACGTGAGCGGATACAGCGACGTGCTGACCAGGTCGAGCACCGTGCCGGACGAGCCTGGATGCCAATCCTTCTTGTAACGGGGGACGTCTTCGAGCACAGCGACTTGGCGGACGAGCGTGTCTCGCAGCGGTTGCGGCAAGGCATCATCCGACATGACTGTGCACTTGACGGCTCCAGGCATGAGTGTCACCACTTCGCCGCTCGCCAGCTCGGCTGTGCGAATGCCGTGCTCGGCAAGATACGCCAGCTCGCTGAACAGCAGACCGACCGCGCGCTTGGAGAAGCCGCGTTCAGTCGCCTCGGCGTGCCACGTGGCTGCAGTGGCGGCATCCTTGAGCTTGATCCACCACTGTGGCTTGGCAAGGACCGAACCAAGCAGACCAAGATACTGGCGCTCCTTGACGGTGAGATGCGGCTGCTCGGCGCTCGGGATGAGGGCTATGGGCAGATCGATGTTGTACTCGTTTGTCTCGTAGTTGGTGTCGCCCGGCTCGAGTTCCGTGCCAAAGAAGGTGCGCAGGATGGCAATGATGCGTTTCACGACCACCGACGAGAGTCTGTGGCTTTCGGCCAGTTGCTGCAGCAGCGACGGCATGCCGATTGCTTGCATCGCGTCTGCCGTTGGGTTCGAGTCGCTGTGCTTGTACCACGTCAGCAGACAGTCGACAACTTCGATGGCCTTGCTCAGGCTTGATGTCTCGGTGCCGCTGCTGCTGCTGCTGCTGCTGCTGCTGAGGAGAAGGAGGAGTTTGTGCATCGCCGGTGCAATGCCGTGGTGCAGGTATGCTGGAACGAGCGCATCGCTGCCGTTGTTTGGGTCTTGAATCGTCGCATGAATGCATCCGAGTGCGGCTTCGGCCCTTGCGTGGCCAGGAGGGTTGAACGCCGCGATGATGCGACCCACGACGGCGCTGTATGCTACATCCGAAGCTTGCTGGTCGACTCGCAAGAGGATCCGGCTGACAAGCAACGACAGGGCGGAAAAGAGATCATCCGACTTGCTTGCTTCATCGTTGGCCAGTATCCTTTTCAATGCACCCATAATGCCTGCACTGGCAAGCTGATCTGCCATCGTGACGCCATCAGATGCGAATATGGTCATGTGCTGATGAAGCAACTCGAGAATGGCCTTGAGATGGTTAGCGTCGGTGATCGATCTGGTTTACAGCCATTGGTCAGCGGGCAGTCAGCAAGACGATGGAAGATGCGGCATCAACGTACTTGAGTTTCTCGACCGTGGTAGAAAAGAGCTGCAGATCGGGGAAGAGAGCTGGAAAGTTGTACATGTTTGCAAACAAGCACCTGCATGCAGCCACGGTGACTTCTCCGTCGTCTTGTTTGGTAAGCACGTGCAGCACAGCTTCGGCAAACGGCTTGATGACACTCTGTCATTCACAGGTTGTCAGCGTTATGGATCCATGCGTGGCGAGGCAACTCTCCCACGCACTTGGAATGGGTTTGGTACGCACATTTTCAAGGCCGAGATAGGCACGAAGCCGCAGATTGATCGAGAACAGGATCCTCAAGATGGCGTCTCGGTCTGTTTCGGCAACCAACGCAGCGACAACAGTCGGACCGCGTCGGATGGGCCATCTCACTGTAAAAGTGTTGTGGGTTAGCAAGGTTTTCAGTGCCTCGTTGATCTGTCCAAGGATGGCGATCGGTCAGTACCACAGCAGCAGCATCCCATGCAGATCTGTCAATAACTGACAGCCATGCGGACTTGGATATCCGTGTCGGCCAGCAGATTCATGAACACGGCGCCGACATCCCACTCGGTTGTTTCTGGCATTCGGTCGACATACTCGGCCGCTTCCATGGTGTTGGTTGAGCGCATGAACGTGTCGACAGAGTTGGCAGCAGCGACCTGAGAAGAGGGGGTTAGTGAGCCGATCGCAGGTGCCTTGCTGCGACGGCAACTCACCTTGACCCTCAGCGACGGAAAGAGAAGGGCTTTGTAGTGCATCATCGACATTCCCTTGTCGTAGTACAGTTTCATGGCCTCGGTCCTGCGTTCCATCGGCAAGCCCACTGCGAGCCGCCAGCGACACATCACACACAGAGCGACGTCAGCAAGCACTCCAGCCAAGCGTCCGTTGGAGCATGCTGGTCGGCATGGATGCAGCGGCAGGCAGACCAAGCAGTGCAGACTCACTCAGCCGCTCGTCGACTTCCGCCCAGGCAGCAATGGCGTCGTCAATGGCCGCGGGGTCCTCCGAGGCCGGCAGCAGGCGTGCCATCAGCGCCGCCACATCCACACCATTCCCCAGCACATCAGGATCCCTTGGCTGTGCACCAGGTTCTTGCGCCATGTGGGGCCAGTGGCTGGCGGGGCAAGTCGGGGTATGTGAAGCAACAGATTGGAAAGTTGGAATTTGAGATTCCAGCCGTGGTGGCTGCAAGCAGGCACAGACATCGCAGTCTGCCAGCACAGACATCGCAGTCCGTCAGCACGACGCCGCAGTCGACAGACGAGCCAGACACGCAAACGCGGCGGCCTGCGCTCTGGCTGCGTCGTGGGCCAGATCGAGCGGCGAGAATGCAGACCCAGCCGCACGCTGCTGTGCAGCCATGGCACCTTTGAGATCCGCGAGTTCAGGAGCATCTGTGCCAAACAGCGTCTCAAACATGCGGATGCAGTGGCCAAACGCATCGATCGCCTGCTTGCAGGATACCATGGCAGTCAGATGCGCCAACTTGAGCTGCTCGTATGCCGACTACGGGCTCGTGCCGTCGTGGAGTCTATACAAGCCATACTCTGGTCGTACCATGTCAGCCATGCCTCAAACGTCGGAGTCTCAGCCAATGCAGCCTGTCACCTAAATGGTTGAGGCGTGCAGTGGGATTCATGGATGCTCTTACTCCATTGCCCCATGCACTCCATCGATACAGTTTGCCATCCAACTCTGATTCGAAATGGGTTGAGTGCATCACATATGGTATATATTGTATGTGGGGCTTCAAGTCAACAAGTCCGACTTTAGCTCAGATGGTAGAGCATCAGACTGTAACATGGCAGAAATCTGTGGGTCCTCGGTTCGATTCCGAGAAGTCGGACTTTATTTTGCTCTTTGTTCCTTTTGGGGGGCGACGACACTCTTTTTGGCCGGCTGGATCGGTGCAGCAGCTGCATTCGTGCATCTTTCTCTCCTTTTTGGGCCGTATGCGACGCCAGCCTGCGCTCTTGGCTCTGCAGTGGTGACCGGCAGCAAGTCAATGCACCTGGAGACGTGCGTCCACTCGCCTCGCGAATGTGCGCATTTCTTCAGGCGGCCCATGGTGTGTTCCAGCGTACTTTATGGATACATCACCGTGGACGTGTCGGACCAGGGGGATGACATAACTGAAGGATCTACGCACCGTCTTGAGCTTCTACGAGTAAGGCATCTCAACGACGCGAGTGCCATCGTGCATACCAAGAGGCTGCTGGCCAATGTGCCAACGGACAATGGGATCTCTCAGCCTCAACATCCTCTGTGCGTTTGGTGGCCCAAGTCATGTGAGCACACAACCTCGTCCAATGGCCGGTTCATCATTCTCCACTGAACTCGACATGATTCGCAAACTGCCCGAGGACCTCCTTGCACACGCCGCCGAGACTGGTGCGTGGAGAGCAGCATGGACCGAACAGTGTGATGCAATGCGGTGCAGCTGCTAACGGTAATGTTCTGGCTGCCGCTCCATGCAGGTACACTTTCCAAGGAGGCCGAAGCGATGCTCGGCGACTGGTCTCGCCAAGGTAGGTTGCGAGCTGTGAGCATCTGTTGCAAGCGACAACTGACGCTGGCGATGGCCCTGACTGCAGCCAAGGAAGCGTCGTACTCGCCTTACAGCAAGTTCAGAGTTGGAGCGGCCCTGCTTGCCAAGAGCGGCAACGTGTGGCTCGGTGCGTCTGCATGGCATCCTCACGGCGTCTGTATGTGGGCTGACAGCTGCTGCGCATCCAGGCTGCAATGTCGAGAATGCAAGCTACGGTGGCTGCATCTGTGCCGAGCGCACGGCGTTTGTCAAGGCAGTCGTGAGTTGCTGGGCAATCGTTGTGGCTGCAGCGGGGTGACTGGATGGACGGCATCTGACACGGCTGCTGTCCATGGCTGGTGCACAGAGCGAGGGCGACCGCAGGTTCCATGCGATTGCCATCACCAGGTGAGTGCGGTCAGCCGACGACGGCGGGCACACAGGCACAAAGCACACATACACAAAGCACACACACGCTGACCGCGACGTGGCCCATGAACAGCGACACGCCCAAGCCCATCTCGCCGTGCGGCATGTGCAGACAGTTTATGGTCGAGTTTGGCAAGGACCTGCTCGTGCTGCAGTTCTCTGCCGATCTTGCGCAGGTGTCGAGCAACCGTCTGCGAGACCTGCTCCCCGACTCGTTTGGGCCGGAAGATCTTGATGTTGAGGCTCCGCAATAAATGTCTGTTGGCCTGGCTCTCATACCAAACTACCCAAAGCCATGAAGACGAGGCACAAGCGGGCGGCCGTGGACAGCGACGGCGACGACGGCGCGGCCCATGCAGGTGGCAGCAACGGCAGCAACGGCAGCAGCAGCAGCCGTCCTGCAGTGGTCGTGCAGCGCACACGCACACACGGAGCAGCCATCAGCTCGTCAGCGTCGTCTGCTTCAATGGCACCAGCGCCGGCAGCAACAACAGCCGAGACGGTCCAAGTGGCCGCACGGCGGTCCAAGGGCAAGGAGCCTGCCCACACCGCAGACACGCTGGATGCCCCAGACGGCACGCATCGCAGCCTTCGCCAGCCATCCAAGCGGGCCAGACTCGGTGCCTCGGTGCGCTCGCCACGAAGCCGCACTCCACCCTCCCATGTTGTGGATCTCACGTCGCCTGCTGCTCCTCCACAAGCCGCCGGCTCGTCGTCGTCCGTGTCGTCATTCAGCAGAGCGCCCTCGCCTCCAAAGCCTCCGCAGGTCCTGCCGTCCATTCCTGGTGCTGCTGCAACGCGCGGCAGAGCGCTGCCAAGACAGCAGACCATCGCCGGCCGCCCATCTCGCACGCGCAGAGGCGCATCGGTGTCTGCATCGGTGTCTGCATCGTCATCGTCGTCGTCATCCAACCCAGCTGGCGCAAGCCGTGTGACTCCTGGCTTCACGCACTCATCCCACATGGCCCCTCTGACGATAACGGGGACAACTGCAGTAAGACGCGAATCGCCACCCTCTCGCCGCCGTGGCATCCAGCATCGCGCTGAGCGTCGGGCAGGCGACGGCCCGTTTGGCGGTGATGCAGGGCCATCCAGCACCAACCAGCCGAGCGGAGTTGAGGATCCGAGCTCTACACGGCCCAGTCAGACAGCCAGTGGTGCCTCTGACGCCGCCAATGCACAGCTGGAGGCTGACGAGGCATTCGCGCGCATGCTGCAAGAGCAAGAGTATGACGCTATCCAGCCCACTGGAATGCTCCAAAGCATGCGTCTCCTCAGCAGCATCATGGACCCGCCTGCTCGTTCTGCGCCAACTTTGTTCTCGTCGCGACGTGCAAGCTCTCGTTCAAGCCACCCTCGGCGTCGTAATGGAGGCTCTTTGGCGAGCTACATCAGCCAGAGCGACGGCGGAGAGAGCCAAGACGGCTATGACCACCGCCATGGCGATTCGACAACAGGCGATGAGCACGAGTACGATGATGATGACCACGGCGACGACGACAACAGCAATGATGGCCGGGCCAACGGTGTCTCAGATGTTGACGCTGACGATATGCTGGTAGACATTGGGTTCGGGGCAAGCGATGGCGAGGAGCAAGCGTTTGTGCACGATGACGACAGCGACGAGGACGACGGATATAATAACGATCATCGTGATAGTTATGGCGAGCGTGCGAGGATGCGACGGAGCCCATCTCTGCCACTTGCCGCATCACCACCAGGGAGGGGGTCATTGATGCCCATGGGTCTTCTGGATCGCCACAGCCTGTCAGCTGGCTCCTCTTCGAATGCAGGTACAGCCGTTGGAGCGCGTCCCCGCACTGCACACACGCATCCCTACTCGGACAGCTTCAGCTTATTCTTCCAAGAGATCGAGCGCGTCATGTCGGGCGACGGTCAGGCTGGGCCATCAGGCACGGGGCGGCCGCCGTCCATGTTACAGCGGCTGTCAGATCTACGGCGTCAGCGCCACAATCACTACATGGCCCAAGCACACCAGCTTCTTGGGTGCGCCACTCGCGCTGGACTGTGGACACCAGCGATGCCGACTAATCTACTCGTGTTCTGTGTTGTTGGCTTTGCAGTCTAGGTATTGCTGGACACCCAGGCAACTATGTCGGCGATGATTCTATCGACATGAGTTACGAGGGTCTGCTCGCGTTAAGCGAACGGATTGGCACTGTTGGACGCCGTGGCACGCAAAAGTCTGTGATTGATCGGCTGCCGACAAGCACATATGGAGATGCGACATTGGGAACGACGGACAAGGACGCCAGGTAAGTGTTGCGACCATGTCGTGCGATGGATGGCTGGATGGATGGTTGGTTGGTCAGCTACTGACGTAACCGTGTTTCAGATGTCCGATCTGCTTTGAAGACTATACGGCCGCAGATGTTGTCAAGACACTGCCCTGCACTCATGTGTATCACTCTGAATGCATCACACAGTGGCTCAATGACAATGCAGCCTGTCCCATGTAAGTATCGCGTGCTGGAGTGCATCCAAGAGCCACAGCGACTGACACACACACACTCATCCCTTTTCCCAGCTGTCGCCTGGACGTGTCTCGCCCCGACACCAAGTGACTGCTGATGATATGCCAATAAGACAGCTTCGGCTCGGTGATAGAATGTATTGGGAAAAAAGTTCAAGAGGACAAGATGAAGAGGGGGCGGCGTGAAGCTGGCGTGCCAGCCACGCATTAATCGTCTAGTACTTGTAGAACAGGACATTGCCAGTGTGCTCGACGAAACGGCAGTACCGCTGCGACTCGTAGAGCGCTCTCCAGATGGGCGTGTCGTCGTACAGGTAGTACTTGCCGAGGAACTTCTTGACAGCCTCGGTGGCTTCCTGCGCGTGGTAGTGGGGCATCGTCGAGAACAGGTGGTGCACAACGTGGGTGTCGGAACTAGACAAGACGAGCTCGTGTGTGAGCATCGAACGCAGGCAATCCATCTCAAAAGCATGGTATGCTCAAGAAAAGGCGAGACAAGATGAGACGTACATGTGGTGGTGGAAGTGGTTGAGGATTCCAAAGTCGCGGTCGACGGTCGAGAGAGCGCCGCGCAAAAAGTCCCACTCCTCGTCCGAGTAGTGCGGGCACTTTGGCGAAGTGTGCTGCAGGAACGTGATGGTGACGAGCCAGGCGTTGACCATGAGGTACGGGATGACGTAGTAGGAAATGACGGTGAGCGAGCCAAACACCTGGCCGAGGTAGAACAGGAAGCCGATAAAGCCAAGGATGCCGACGTTGGAGGCGACGACGCCCCAGTACTGGCGCGCATCAAAGATGGGGGAGGAGGGCTTGAAGTGGGAGACCCAGCCGGGGTGCTTCTGGGACCAGGCGTTGACAAGGAGGTACCAGGGCCAGCCAAAGAGAAGCATCATAAAGTTCTCGTAGAGGATGGCGATGGGGGCGATCTCGGTGAGCTCGTGCTCAAGCGAGTGGTCGAGCTGGGCAATCTCCTCCTCGGTGTACTTCTTCAAGACGTGCGGCTTGACGTTGCTGCGGAGGACAGGCACAAACGGCTGGTCCTTGGTCATGTGGCCGGTCGCCTTGTGGTGCTTCTGTGAACGTGCAAGAGCAGAGCAGAGCAGAGCAGAGCAGAGATGGACAGTGCGTCAGCCTGCGAGTTGGTGGCTGGGGTCATTGAGTCGCGGTCGCGTTCTGAGATGCTTCGGCGGCATTCACGTGTAGATGGCACTGCGGGGAAACTCCGACAGGGGCGGGCGATGCGCAAGCGCGATCTGCCGTGCAGTCTGGATCCACCTGTGCCAGCAGCAACAGCTCTCGCGTCTCGCGTCTCGCTTCTCGAGTCTCGATCCGAGGCGATTACAAGCAACATTTGCGCCGCCGCCGCCCAACGGAACTTACAGAGTGCGAGTACTTC